TTACCACTATTAGACCTCAAAAGCAAAGCTGCAGAATGTACAGAGTTTCCCTCCCTCCTTCCTTCCCGCCTTCCCTCCTTCCTTGCTTTCTTTAAATACCTCTTACCTTCCATACCTCTCTCCATGGGTGGATCCAACGCTGCCCTCCAATCTTATTAGTTTTTTAAAGGAATTACCTTTTGCATATTTGTAAATCATTTCTTTTCTATGACCTTCATGTTTCTCATTGGTAAAACCAGATAAAACAGCTACTACTTCATAGAACCGTGAGCATTCAGGGAGGGCACCTAAATCAAGCACTGAAGATGATCCTGCCATAGAATACATGCTTGAGAAGAGTTAGTTATTACTGTTATTAGATGCCATTAACCACATTGCTAATGTTTCTTGGGGGTCTAATTCTTCCCGTAGCATACTTCTCCTTGTTTCCTGGCAGAGAATTAGATGCCATGAAGCTCAAAAATTCCATCTCTCCCTCAGCCAAGAGGGTGGCAGGTCCAGACCCAGTGTGACTCAACAGCTGTCCCCACAACCCCTCCYGAGGCTCAGGCCTCACAGACAGTGRGGCAGGTGATGGGCTGGGGGAGCAGGAGCCCAACAAAAGATCCTTCCACAGTGAACAATGGTGCTTGGATTGCTGCGCCTGCCSGCCCCCAGCAGCTGCAGCCCTCAATGAGCTCCCAAGCAGGCATACWGTAGAAAGTACAGTAGGGTAGGGTGTGGGTGTAAGTGGCTGGCTGAGCACAAGCAGAATGTGTCTGGGTTGGAGTTACTCTTTTTGTTAATCTTCCCTTTCCTGGATTCCAAACATTAACAAAGAATCATATCAAAATGTACAATGCAACAGCATTGAGTTAGTTAATAGCAAAAAACAAAGAATTTGCTACGCTGTAACTGTGCCAAAATGAGTCAGTAAAACTTGGTGCAGTTTATCTCTGAACAAAGAGCAGGGGAAGAGATCCCKTCCCCACCAGCACTGCTATTCCTCACAGATTTATTCCAGTATGGTGTGGGGGRATTTAGGATGGATTAGTTCCCAGCGGTCTTCTCTCTAACCGTTCCCCACCTGGGCACCAGGAAAGATGGGAGTGGCCCACTTCTGAGATGCGGAGGGCTTCTGGACCACACTGCTTCCTGAGGCCACATGCTTCTTTATATCCCCATACGGATTACTTTGCTATGGAATGTAAGGAAGTGTGTGGTTTTGGCAAGTGCCTCTTCGCTCGCCCGGCAGCCCCACCCACAGCACAGGCCAGGTGACAGCTCCTCATCCAGGTTTTGTGCCAGGAGGTTATCTGCAGTTCCAACCAAAGACCCACCCCACGGCTCCCTGTCTCCTCTTGAGACTTCTCTCTCCGTGCAAGGTCTCAGGCCCCTGGCTGATGCCCCCTGAGGCCTCTCTGTGACCAGCTTTCCACACCACCCCTCCTCTGGTCTGCTTGGTGAGGAGAGGCCACATCCCCCAAAGACTTCTCCCAAGATCTGCCCTCACCCCTGAGTTCCTTCCTCCCTGAAATGGAATGTTTCTACTAACCAAACCGAATCGTGCTTCCTTAGTCACCATCTGTATCACAGGTCTATGGCAGTCCGTCCATTTCTAAGGGTTTTCGTTACAGACAGAGGGCATGAGGCTCAGGAAACCACAGCCACAGTGAGTGATGCCCYCCTCCTCCCAAGTCTCCTGATCCTGCCCTGGTGTCCTTTCTACTTCATTCCATAATCCTGGCACAGAGTGCTGCTTCTAGGAGAGGCTGTTTGAGGAAAAGGTTAGATGCTGAAATAGTGGCCAAATAAATTAATAAAAAATCAATGGCCCAGTTCCTTTCTCCTCTAAACCTGTACCCCGGTGTTGTCAGCTCTGACTCTCCAGGGACTGAGCCCACACCAAAAAAGACTTGGGCTTGTAGGGGAAAGCCCTGAGCCAGGAGACACCACCGGACCTGAGATTCACACCATTAGCCGCTGCAGTTTCAGAAGCTGGTACTGAAGATGGAGGGACCCACACACACTAGAGCTGTAGTTCTGGGCCGGCTTTGTGCATCCCATGACTCTCCCTCCTTGTTTTCAGTCTGAGCGTGTGTGACATAAAGGTTGGGGCCACATGAGTTTCTAAACAGAACCACAGAAGGAAACACCACAGGATTTGCACGCAGAGACACACAGGAGGGACTTGTAAAGTGGAACTGAGTAACACAGGACAAGCTTTAGATCTGGGATCTCTCAATAGATTCTTGCMCCTCTCTTCGGGCCTTTTGGCATTTTTATGGTTGTCACGCTTGCAGGGTTCCAGGCATCCAGAGTGTGGAGACTAGAAATGCTGCTAAAAGTCCCAGAGCAGCCCCCCACAGCTAAGAATTGTCCAGCCCAAAATATCAGTATGCTAAAGTCAAGAAAGCCTGCTTTTGACACTGATGCTTTGAATAAATATGGTGTATGACGCTGGTATATTACGGCACTCTGTATTTGCCAAAGGAAACTGCTGTTCTTTATTCTATATCTTGGTCTTCATGTTTATAAAAGYGGAGCCTCAGGTTGTGCATCTCTCCAGTGAAAACCCTTCCCTTTTCTAAATCATGCCTGAACTACACATTGCTTTTCTACCCTGAAGGGTGATCTCATGTCATCTGCTCAGAAATGGGGGGGGAGGGGGCAAGTTGTATGGGTGGGTGTGTTGCAGGGGGAGGGGCAGAACATGAGCGAAGAAGAGGCCAGAGATGGTGGAGGAACTGTGTCTGGAACTGAAGAAGTTGCCCTGAAAGAGGCTTGTCCTCCTGCACTGGATCTGGCCTTTCTCAGTCCTGATTTCAGATTGCCTGGCTGCTCCCTGCCCTGCAGTTGCCACTCCCTTGCTAAGAGGAGGATGGCCAGAGGACAAGCAGGCCGTTAGCAACCCCATGACACCTATGTCATGGGGAGGAGGAGGACACAGAAGGTAAGATGCTGACTGCAGAGTCAAGAGGATGCATGCAAAAGAGAAGGGAACTCAGTCAAAGACAGAAGCATCATTATCACCCTGTACAGACCATTCTAGAATCATGCCTTATTCTGTGGTACCCAACTGTCTTATCACCATCATCACGGTGTGCTTTTTTTTTTAATTTCCCTTTGTGTGTGTGTGTGTGTGTGTGTGTGTGTGTGTGTGTGTGGTTCTGGGGTTGAACCCAAGCCCTTGCAGCCTGGACAAGTGCTCTTCCACTGAGCTGTATCTTCAGCCTCCACAGTGTGCGTATACTCATTTCTTCAGAGTCCTATTGAGAGCCATGATGTCTGAGATACCTTCTTCATTCCAGACTGGGCTCCCAAACTGGAGTCCATCTGGCAGAGTCCACTTGGCTGGTTACACCACTTCTAGATTTCCTGATTTATGGTTTTAAAAATGTCGGGGATAAATAAAAATCCTTGCAGCTGAGGGAAAGGAAACACTCACCGAGCAGCCAGGAGTTGAAAGTGGAACTCTTGGCTTCAAAAGCAATTAGAATTGATTCCAGGATTTTCCCTCCATCCTGCTGGTCTCTATCGTGCCCACCAGGGACCCCATGCACCTTTGCCTTGTTAAACCTCATGACACACAGGCAAGTTTGGCATGATCTCTCATGGCATAAATGGAATTTTTGGTGCATTGTAATGCTACATAATAGTGGGATTCATTACACCAAACTCATACTTGCACACAAGAAACAGACTTAAAGACACTATATAACTTTCTAAAAGGAAAAGAAAAAAAAAAACAGGGAAGCATCAGTGGGATTTGAACCAGATAAATGTGATTCCACGGCCATGCACTTTCTATTGGATGACCCCTCTCCTTATCAGGAAGAGGAGGTAAAAGGGCAGGGAATGCCTAGATCCCAGGGAGAGGACAGCTTTCTACACTCATTCAAACTCTCCTCTCTGCCCTCCTCTTCCCTACCTTCTCCAATACCTTATGGAGACAGCCAGCCTGCCTTTTGGGGGGACTGTCTCCTTAATCAATTCCATGCCCTAGGAATAGGGAGAAGCCAGTGGGTACTCCTGCTGCTCCGGCTCGGCCAGTGGTTCTCAAACTTCCTGCCCATCTGCTGAAGGGCCTRTTTCTAGCCCAGTCCCCACATGTTTTGGGCCGGTGAATGTTGCCCTGTAACTTCTCACATCCTGGGATCCAGGAATCTTTAAAATCTACATGAATCAAAAATTTCCCCACTTCCCTTGAAAAACTGCTTATTCAATTTGTCAAACCAAATCTCAATGTCTGTGGCTGCAAGAATGAAGAAATCAATTGCAGTTATGTTCAGATAGTAGAAAATCATAAGGCAATGAAAATTAGTAACTGCAGCTAACACACTGATATGCCTGAATCTTACAAATGTTTTAAGTAAAAATATCAAGGCCACTTAGGATATCATTATATATTAGAATATTCATGAACCTTTTTTTAGGAACGTGTGCATAAATGGTAAAAACCATGAAGAACAACATTTAAAGTATAAGAAAAAATAAACTTCGTGTTACTGTTATCTCAAGGGGAAACATAAAGAGATAAATTGAGAAAAGGATTCAGGAAGTCTAAACAGTGTAGAAGAGTAAAAAAAAAAATAAATAAAGCTCCTTTTTTTAAAGGTTCTTGAGTATTGCTTTTACCACTATGTGTCCTTACTTACATTTGTGTCACACATATCCTTTTATGATTTTAGTTTTATAATTACAGCTTTTAGACATAGTTAGATTATATTTTTATTCAAATGTGAGATATTTAAAGAACATAAGCCGAAATGTTAATTTATTTTGGAAGAGGAGAGGAGAAAGAATTATGGGAAACTGTCATAATTTTATATTGTTTTTGCTGTTTGTAATGTCTCTATTTGAAAAAAAAAAGAATAAAGATTAAAGAATGGAAATAAATTGAAGTCACACAATGCAAAATATAATCTATGTGTGATTTCTGCCGATCATGTGGGAGGATGTTCTGGGCGCAGGCTCCCAGGGTGAGATGCGTCCTAATGCTGGTTCTTTCTGTGTTCCAGGCATGGACGAGTGAGGCTTGAACACCCCAGGCTATCTGCACATGAGAAGCTGCAGTCACCTCCCAAGGGAGCTGCCCCCTGCTCTGGCTGGTCAAACGGAACCAAGTCCGTCTTCCTGAGAGGTTTGGTCCCCTTCAACCAGCTACAGCAGGGCTGGCAATGTCGGTCCCTGGAAAAACAGAAGAGAGTCACCTGGGGCTGAAATTACCTACTAAAACTTTCTTTGTGAAATYGACTCTGGCTTTGTCATCACACTCCCATGTCCCCCGGAAAGAAGAAAGGAGAATCCCTAGCATCAAATGTGAGCAAAGGTTTCATACTCAACACACAGCTCTATACCTGTGCATCCACAGCCAGATCCACTCACGTGCCCTTGACACAAAGTTCTTCATGGCCTTAGTCATGGAGTTGGTGCCAGCCAGGGGAAAAGCACAAGATAGGGAAGACAGGGCTCCTGTCCGCAGGGGCTAGCAGCCTGAGTAAGGAAATCAGGCATACTTCTTAACAAGTCACCAAATATGCCCGGGACACTGTCTATCATAGAGCCTTTATTGACTCACGCAGCCCAGGATATCTATTACTGAGGAATAGGCACCTGTTTTGGTTTACTTATCTGTTGAATGGGGATAATAATACCTACCACATATGGCTTCATGTGAAATGAATATATGGAAAGGAGTTAGAAAGCTCTCATAATTGTTCCCTGTTATTAAGGAGGAATGCTGTTTAATTTCAAATTTCTTTTTCAAGATTTATGTCTTTAATGGTGTACTCAGGAGTGTGCCTGGAACTTTGTTAATATAGGATAAAATTTTTTTTATAAACACGTGTTCCCACACTATACTTGAACAAAGTGTGTCATAAGAGTGCCCAGAGCCCACACAGTGGCCACCCAGGGAACCAGGTGCTGCCTACTCAGGCTTTGAAGTCAGGGAAACCTGAGTCTGAATTTGCCCTTCACAGATGAGCCGTGGTATATCCCCTTTTATGGCCTCACTTTACCTGGCATAAACTTTAGTTTCCTCCTCTATAAACTGGGGTCAATGATACCTACCTCAAACTGGCTGAGATTTTAAGAACACAGTCTTTGTAAAGAGCCAAATATAAGCCCTCAAGAAATAGTAGCTGCTAATATTTGGCTGTTGTGTCAATGGCACAAGGACAGACAATGCTGTGTCTGGCACTCGMGCCTGTGAGGGAAGGACCAAAATAAATAGATAAATATTCCAACTGTTAATTTTACTTGCAAGTAGCATGTTGTCATCATATTATGTATTAATAGTATGTAGTAAGTTTTACTAAAAACCAACCTCACACATGCAACTGATATCACTACTTGAAGAAATATCCTGCCCAGAAAGGCTTCATGGATGAATGCTACTGAGATCAAATCTGTAACCACGTATCCTCCTGAACAGGCAAAAGCCATGTAGTGCATATCCCAAAGATCAGCCCAGAATGTGATTTAGACATGAGTGTTGGAACTAAATACCTAATTCAAATCTCAGCTCCTCTACTCACCAGCTATGTTACCTTGGGCAAATCACATGACCTCTCTGGGCCTGTGTCTTTGTTGATAGAGTAAGAATATCCATAATAGTTTCTACCTTCTAGGGTATTTATAGAAATAAAATGAATTTACATGTAAAGGCCTAATTAAATTGGGGACATACTAAGTCCTCAAGAGTTTTTATCTTGGGCACGGTTACTGAAGTGTTCCTAAAATTAAATTGGTGTTTAATAAAAGCTTATTTAGTAAATGATCATCTTCTTGATTTGTTTATTCTATACACAAACCATGAATTGTGTAATTTCTCTTTCAATTATTCCTGCTRTTTCTTGAGGTAAGCCCAATGGTTCAAGCCAGTGGTGAGGGTGGGACGGAGCTCCCCTCTGCTTGCCCAGTTCTTGGGGCCTGGTGGGGAAGCTGCCCTGGGAGGCAAGGATATGCCTCCAGGAGTAGAAGCACTGTGACCTGGAAGCACAGTGAGCATGTATGGGAATTCTTTGCATTATTTTTGCAAATTTTTATTAGTCTGAAATTATTTCAAAATAAAAAATAATAAAAATTTTCAAAATCACCAATAATACAGCAAAAAAAAAAAAACAAAAACAAAAACAAAAAACGCCAATTCAAGTGCAGCTAGAGCTGGGGGACACCTCACCACACCCCAACGACCAGGTTGTTGGGAAGTATGATTCTGTACCTTTTGGAAGTCAAAGGACTTCTGGAAAGTACTAGAGCACATGGGGTGACTGCTACCACCCAAACTACCCCAACCCTTCAGCAAAGCGTTTTGGGGGACCACTGGATGGAAGTGCTTCCAGTCACGGCCTCCATCCAGTCAAGAAGGCCTACGGGTCCCCCGCAGGAACACAACTTCAAGTTTCTAGTTAAGTTTCATAAAACCAGGTTGGGAGCAAATGCATTTCGGCTCCCACTCACCACTGAAATGATGACGGAACCCTTAAGAAGATGTCCATTTTCTGTTGATTTAAATGGTCTTGATATCAGTACCCAAAGTTCCCAAAAGACCAAACCCTGCATTTGAATAAGAAATCAAGTGCAATCAAAAAGAATTGGGCATTCTGCCCCAGGGCTGCTGTCACTCATCTTGCCACTGCCCCCTTTTTGAGGCAGAAATGTAGGTTAAGCCACCCCAGCGGGGCATGTGGTTTTGCTATTGCTGTGTGTCCCTTCAAGTGCATTCCTGTATCATCACCAGCCCTGTGCCAGGAAGAGGCTGGTAAGAGTGACGTCACGCTGTTGAAACACGGTGACTCTGGGTGATCTTCAAAGCAGATCCCACCCCCACACCAGGCCAGCGTGATCTAGGAGGGAGAAAGTAGCTGCACACAAATGCTGACGCGCTTCCCCAGGAGGAGGTGATGGAAACGGCTCTGGGCAACCCACCAGGCAGAAATTCAGACAAGTGGGAAAATCCCATCCGATGCGGTTCATTAAACGTCTTCAATGTTTTTTCATTAGTAAATATTTCTAAGCAGTGAATTTTTTGAGTAGAGACTTCTAGCAATACAGTAATCCATTTCCTCATGAGTTTTTCTTTGGGGAAATTAATATTAGCTACATGTTCCTCTACCCCCAGAATAAATTTCAGATTCTTCTTCCTAGATGGCCAATAAATGGGTCTCATGTTCTTGAGTTTTTAACTGAAATATCAGAAATTCTTGTTCTCTTAATAGAAAAATCATAAATAAAAGCACACTAATGGGATTATATTTACAAAAATATAGAAACACATGGATGCACACCCAAACTTCCTGATTCCCCCCACCACCACCAACCCCCCCCCCCCCCCGCAATTTGGTTCAGGGAGCCATGCCCAAGTAATTTCTTTGAAAAACAATTAAATCCTTCCACAGATATTAGGTTTCTCCGGAGAAATAGAACCAATGAATAGGATGAGGGGGTGGGGATGAGGTGGGGGAGAAGGGGAGAGAGAGCCTGATTTATTTATTTTAAAGTAGTATAGCTTTATTGTGGGATGTGGCTTTTGTGGTRCTGGGGATTGAACCCAGGGCCTTGTGCATGCAAAGAAAGCACTCTACCAACTGAGCTATATCCCCAGCCCAAGAGTTTGATTTATTGTAAAGAAGTGGCTCACACAATTAAGGAAACTGACAAATACCCAGGAAGGTCCACCAGAAGCCACAGACCCAGAAGATCCAGTCCAAAGTGAGTCGGAAGGAGGAATTTTTACAGAGTGTCAACCTTTTTGCCTATCCAGGCCTTTGACTGATTGGATGAGGCCCACCCACACAGTTCACCAACTTAAATGTTCATCTCATCCCTCTAAGAAACAACCAGAATAATGTTTGACTAAATATCTGGGCTTTTCATGGCCTAGTCAAGTTAACATATAAAACTATAAACAGCACAGCTAGTTTTCTTTAAGTTAGCAAAGAGGCAGAATAGTMTCTGTTTTCTCATAATTCTAAAAACACAAGAGAAAAAAATTGTTTATTTTCAGTGTTGCTATTTAAAATTTCTTTACTTCCCCCTTTTCTCATATTGGCCTGAGCACCCAAAATATTAATGTGACTATTTTGATACAACTGTTGTTGACATCAGTGATGTTTCGGTATTTACACTCATTTTATGACTCTTTAGAAACAAACCATTCACATTTCATCTTTTTCTCATTACCAAGTTACGTATATAAGCATGCTCATCCCTCCCCAGACTTAATTCACCCCAGATTCCATCCCATCTCCAAACTTCCTCCAACCCCAGACTTTTAACTCTGACTCTAGACAGACAGGGAAGGACATGGTGAAGATGAGTTGAGCCTATTACTCAAACATGTTTTTATTCTTTAGTAAGAACTAAAGGTTCATGCTTCTTTCTTCATTTCTCATGGAAATGTACCAGTAGCTTCTTCACAGTGGCTTTTAAAAATATTCCTTGTCAGCACACACAAGGGCTTGGRTTAGGCCCAGGAGCTACCTGAGGAAAGAGGTCTCCCTGATGTTTGAGGACCTCTGGAGAACAGCTGGATCACGGATTCTGCCAGTGGTATCTTTTAAGGTAATGTGCATATTTCCTTTTTTCTTTAAACTTCACGGAGGACTACTGTTCAAGAAATTCTATCCAGGGGCCTAAGCTCATAGTAATGCCCGTGTAACGGCCTGACCCTGCCGGACTCAGCTGTTCAGCACATGTGACAGCCCTCGTGGCCCCTTCTCTCCCCCTCCCTCCCCCTGTCTTTCCATATCCTCTTCCAGAAGCAGCAACTGTGGGCACCTTGGAGATCTGCAAAATGCCATCCCAGAAAAACAGCCACCTGTCGGGCAGCTTCTCCCAGGCTTCAACCTCTTCAACCAAGGGTACTTGATGAAACCTGTTAACCAGAGGGACCCTTAGCTCTGCTTGACTCATCCAGACTGGAATGTTCCACTGTGGCATTGGACACCTGCCAAATAAAACACTCTCCACCACAAAGGAACTCTCCTGCCTGTGGCAGTGGATAACACAGATTCATATTCATTATATCATTCTCCAACCACCCCCCTCGATAAAGTACAGAGAAAGGAAGACAAGGAATTCTTTTAAAAATAAGCTATTACAGACATTCCTTTGGCTTCCAGCCTTTCCGAATGGTGGTTCGGTCTCCCTCAGTGAAGCTTATCCATGTGCTTCATCTGTCACCACAAGAGGGCGCCAGGCATGGGCAGGGCGGGAGGCGTGGGAGGGTGTGAAAGAGTGGAGAAAGAAGGATGGGGAAAACTTTAAAAAGAAAGAAGGGGAAAGGACACTATAAAAAGAAAATGCTAAGAGCAAATACCCTATTTCTGAACTGTATGTCTTTTGAATAAGCAGTTATGTACTTTTAAGTTTTTAGGAAGGAAATCACTCCTTCCTCAAACTGCAATTCTTAAATCTCCAACCATGGAAAGAAAAGTGTTTTTCAATGAACGAGGAAGATTCCAAAACAGACTCAAAGGGATTGATTTGGGTAAAACTTTAGAAAAGAAAAACCCTCCAGGCAGRGTGGCACACGCCTGTAATCCCAGCGGCTGGGGAGGCTGAGGCAGGAGGATCAGGAGTTCAAAGCCAGCCTCAGCAAAAGTGAAGCACTAAGCAACTCAGTGAGACCCTGTCTCTAAATAAAATACCAAATAGGGCTGGGGATGTGGCTTAGTGGTGGAGTGCCCCTAAAAACAAAACAGAAAATCCCACTGGAAAGAATAAAGTAAAAATTTGCATGAGCATTACTACTTTCAGGTATCCCCCTCTGCTGCCGAGTTACGTGTTACTTTCCCTTGCTTTTCTTCACCCTACCCTACCTGCATTTTGCTGGGTTTCATGGGAGGCCGCTGCCTTAATTCTACACCTCTTAACAGGGCACAGGTTCAAAGATGGAGCCTAGGCTGTGGCATCACTGATAGGAGGGAGCCTCAGTTCCCTCCAGGCAGGGATCCCACCCAACCCAATCCCTTGATGATTTGCAGATCTTTCCAGTCAGAGCTGTCAAGCTTCAAACTGGCTAAAATAATGAAGGAACTGAATAGCAAGTCTTCCCTTGACACTTTGAGGGGGAAGAGGGCAAATAAAGTCAGATCAGGAAAAAACATGAGTATCCTGGTGTTACAGAACTGGGCCTTCTGAGAACTGATGCAACATGAAGACCCCCTTTCAAACCCCTATTCTTGCAATCAAGTTAGAAAGATTGCAGACATGTTGCTCAGAATAACAAAAATGAGCTTACTGAAGGGATAGGAAAGGGAAAGGGGACAACTCTCAAGGGAGAGGGTAGGTCCTCTCAGAGAG